CCAGGAAATGGCATTTTAGAGACTCTAAATTTAAAAATTTCCTCGGGCCTTCGGCCCTCGCTTTCAGCCACCCCCCCCCCCCAATCGAAAAGAGCTTCCTACGGCCCTGGAGCTGACTTAATTTCAGTTAATGTTGAGGCAATTTGTCTTAAGATTAAAAAAACGAAAGCTAAGCCAGTTCTAATCAGTACTTGGTATCGTCCACCAGGTTCTAATTTGGAATTCTTCGATGATTTTGAAAATTTCATAAAAGAGATTGACAACGAAAACAAAGAAATAATCATAACAGGTGATTTTAACTGTGACATGCTGGACAGCAACTATAGGAATAACAACAACTCCAAACGATTGGATGACCTATTAGATATCTACCAGTACAGCAACACGTACATTGATAAACCAACCCAAACAACTGACTCAACAAAAACACTAATAGATATTATAATTACAAAAATATACGATACCAAAACATCTGATTCAGGAGTGATTGGATTGGGAATAAGTGACCATGATCTGATTTATATTTGTAATACAACTCAATTCGATCCGCCAATATTGATTTCCGACGTATATGACGGGAAAATTAGATATTAAAAAACTCCTGGAGTATTTGCAGTAGAAATACGAAAATACATGTACCACCAAAAAATTCCGCTTGATCGATGCTATATAGCCTGAAATATTCGTATAATTTTATTGTTTCTCGCTCAATTTAGAGTGAATTTCTTACCTTTAAACGATAATTGTAGTGAAATTTATGCAAATGATACATTACCAATTTCGCTGTCGCATCGTGCGTTTTCGTGCGTGTTCAACTGTTCATATCTTTGCTTCTTTTCAACGTACAATAAAGAGAAATATACTAAAATAATCGCCATCTTACATTCTATAGCTCGAAGCAGTCTCGCGAAATTGCGAAATAATCTATGCCTATTATGGCGATTCTCGTGGTCGGAAAGTGTTCGGCCAAATTCCGACGCCAAATTCTTGGTAAAGCATTTGCGTTTCCTGGTAAAAGACTGCAGAAATCACTTAACCCTAGATACCGATTTTGATTGGCTTAGGCAGAAAAACAAACCTCTTATGGCAATTTTCCTGATTGAATATATCGCGCACGAGCGTTGTAACACTGGTTGTAATGTATTGTCACATTGTAAGAATGGCATCTCTCAATTGTCAAGACGTTTCTTGACCTTATTTTGCAAACTGATAGTGCTAGTAACGATGGAATGTCTTCGGACAAAGAAGAGTATCTCAATCTGGCATTGGGAGTTGTGTCTGGAGGTTCAAGGCAAGTATTTTGATCATTTTTAGACATAATTTCTGTTTCAATGTTTTGCCGTTGCCATGACATTGTAAATCATTTGCATTTAGTAGCGTCACTAGTATGACCTATATGTCCTCATATCGCATTTTTTGTGTTGAATTAGTCCTTCCACACCGAAATTGACAAATACAAATGGTATTAATTATATTGTTGCCGAAAATTTATGGTGTTTTGGGCATAAAAAACCCTGATTCCTAGGCAAAGTATTAAAAATGAGCCTTGAGTACATGTTTGATTGTTTGTTACATAAATAATAGACTGGTCAAGTATTTATATATCTTACTAGTTTGGCTCTTGAGTGTATTTTTATTATGCTTTCAAGTGGCATCATGTAAATTATGTCTATAGAAATGTTTTTATTTGTAGTGACTAGTGACGAAGATATTTGATCCTGTTCCAGCTGCTGTTCCTGTTTCAGAGCCCCAGGGAAGTAGCAGTTCTGATGAGTTTATTAGTGTTTATATCTGAACCACACTCCCCCATTAGGAAAAGGTCTAAGCATAGAGGGAATGGTAGGGGGATGGGTAAAGGTAGAGAGAAGCCCACTCGGATCCACGGTTAAAGTTTCCTGTCTAGCACCCCACTAGGCCCCATAGTGCATGAGGGATTTGGTGATCCTGACACTAGGAATATTCTCCTAGATTTTGCCCCTCACTGACATGTCGGGATCCATTTTGATCAAGCTTTCACCAGAAGTATGAACTGTGAGCTTGAATTATTTTGGTTCTTTTTCACTAAGGAAATGCTTCAGGAGGAAGTTGCCCATACCTATATATATGCCCACATACAAAATAACCCCAAATCATCCTCGTATACTAATAAAGAAGGGTCTTGGTCGTCCACCAACCTTGAAGAGACTGAGAGGTTGATTGCCTTTTTAGTATATGCAGGTTTGGTACCAGGTAGAAAAAGAGAGATTGAAAATTCTTGGAGTGTAAAAACCTTATATCATGGTCTGTGGGCAACAGAAATAATTTCTCGGTTTAGATACAAAGCCCTTATAGCTTTTCTGAATGTGGTGGACCCTGTCACTGAAGACCCCAGCAATAAACTGCATCAACAACTGTACCAGCCATCGCAGAATATTGCTGTTGACGAACGCATGGTCAAATCAAGGAACAGGCCAGGGATTAGGCTGTTCATGAAAGATAAGCCTACTAAGTGGGGGATAAATCTGTAGGTTGCTACAGACGGTTCTAATGGTTATACTTGCGACTTTGAGATTAATTTATACAGGGATGAAGTCCATAGATTAAGCACAGCATGGATTGGGATATGATGTGGTGATGTGATCTAAGTTATAGTCTTACGTCTTTTGTGGTCCAATATATATTTTGTGCCAAAAAAGGAAATATTTTCATAATCCAATTGTGTGGATGAGTCCTGCTTTGGCACACATTACCTTTTTGTAACTACCAGTGGCGACGTCATGTTATATGCCAATATTTTCATGTTCTAGATTGTGAAAACAATCAATTTCTAAAGAAATTAGTAATTATTATTTAAAACTTGCATAGCATGTCCAAATTGTCAGGCAGGCTATGCCACTGATAACTAATTCAATTGTGTACTGATTATCTAAGCATGTATATAGTACTGTAACTGTAGAAATAAAGACATTTTGCAAATAGTGATTTGAGTGTTCTTTTGTGGGTATCACAGACTTATTTTGGTGCCATACTATCCTTGCAGTCTAACAAAGCTCCCGGTCCAAACGACCCCTACCTCAACATAATCAAAATGTTTGCGCACTTTTTTGCCATCCCATTAGCAAACATTTTTAATGCATCGTTTGTGCAGAAGGTGTTTCCAAAACTGTGGAAAGAGTTCTACCTAGCACCTATACCAAAAGTGGAACCGTGCACGAATCTGGAAGAAATAAGACCGGTAGCTCTTACTAGCACAATTTCAAAAATACAGGAGTCTTACGTGGTTGATTGGATGTATGACGATATGGAGTCTACAATTTGTAAGGAACAGTATAATATGGTGGTGTACCACGCTCGTCAGCAGTCCTTGCGCTCGTTCACCTTCTACACAAATGGAATAAAGCATTGGACTTATCACAACGAGTAATAAGAATTCTGTTTTTGGACTTTCGCAAGGCATTTGATCTCATTGATCACAATGTGCTATTAGACAACTGTTGTAAAATCGGAGTCAGACCTGGGCTTATTAGCTAGTTGGGGTCATATCTAAGTAAGAGGATGCAAGTGACAAGGTTTGGTAACGAACTTTCTACAAGCTGTATGATTAATGGAGGAGTTCCCCAAGGTAGTCGTATTGGTCCAATTGCGTTCATCGTTCATATTAATGGATTGAAGACAGTGATCAAAGATACCGAGAGCAGTTTGATTAATTCAAGCAATGATGTCAATGATGATGATTGCGATGATGACCTAACTCTTTTCATGGATGACACAACACTGTCGGAGGTTATTAACGTCCGTGATCATGTCTCAGGCACGCAAGTTGGGAGTACGCCCAATAATATTATGAAAGTTATGGATTTTGCTACGTCTCAAAAAATGGAGTTGAACCTTAAAAAATGTAAGGAAATGCAGTTAGATTTTCGTCTGAATAGGACAGTTATTCCACCACTAACATTCAATGATACAACGTTGGAAAGGGTTTCCGCGTTCAAACTATTGGATTGACGATAATTTAAAGTGGCAAACTAATACTGATTATATAATAGGGAAAACAGTTAAGCGACTCTTTTTATGAAAAATTTTAAAGAAATATGATGCTGACAAGATTGATATGAAACAGTTTTACATTTCTGCCATCAGGTCTATACTTGAATATGGAGCGCAAGTCTGGCATGGGGGCCTTACTAAAGCACAGAGCAGCAGTATTGAGAAAGTCCAAATAAGGGCATTGAGAATAATCTATTCTGAAAAAGATTACGAAAACTTATAAATTGAAAGCTGGAATGCATACGCTTGAACAACGTCGCAATACTATGTCTATGTGCATTCATCTTATTAGTAAAATGTCTGACCCACAACACAAACTGCACCATCTTCTTCCTAACAAACTTTGCAAGGTACGGCAAAGGGACCGTACACACGTCAGAATGGTCAATTGTTTTACAATTACCACTACAGAACAGAACGATTTCGGAACAGTCCAATTGTTTCGTCAATTGAACTCTATAATAACTCTATTTTATAATATAACATAACTATATATTTTTATCGAAACGTTTTTAATGCGTATATTAGATAGTTTTCGGAACAGTCCAATTGTTTCGTCAGTAGAACTTTTGATAATAACTCTCATTTATAATATAACTATAGTATCTATTGAAACTTTTTGCAATACCTAATTTAGATATGAGTACAGTAATTAATGTATTTCTTTTATACGTATGTAATGGGCGTTCTAATTTAACTACTTATTGTAGCTATTCAATGTGCAATTTTGATATAGTAAACATTAAACATTATAATATGCTGCAGCAATAAAAAAGAACCTTTGAAAAGGGTATTTGTTTCATGTGAGTGTTTGCTTCATGTTTCAATTCACAAAATGTAAATTTAATCTACTACATACGGTAGTTCATTAAAAAATTCAGTAAAAATACTTCCATTCATGCTACATGCATGAAACTTCGAGTACTTGTAGATCAAAACTGTCTCTTTCTGTTACATTCATAAAATTGTTGAAATATTTGAAATTTGAACCGGTAAATACGTTTATGCATAATTGCAACATTTTTTTATATCATAATTTATGCAAATTTATGCACGTTATTGCGTCAACCAAACTTGTGATGAAATTGAAATTGGTATGGAAAGTGGAAGTTCCCCTCTTTTGAACGATGCAATTTCTGTTTCCATATGATGTATAGTTTGAAAGATATTTGCATTTAATTAAAACAACACCACTCAAAATTGCTACATTTCGACCGGATGGTAAGGTAAGGTAATAAATAGATTTATTAGCATGACTATAAATTTACAGTATTGCTAAAGCATTACAAACAATATATAGAAGAAACTATGATAAACTAGGACTATTACAGATTATTATTTGTGGAATGATTTATAATAGACTAATACAATATTAGGAAGAATTAAGAGGAAAGAAAGAGACAAGTATGCTATTTACAAATAAGGTGGTTATTACAACCTTTGCTAATCCGCATTCCTGGTTTCAAGGTATTTAAGTCTGCTTGAAACATGAATAAACAAATTTTGAAAGTTTGGTTATGATTTAACTATCAGTTGACTTCATTAGGTCCGCTGATAGAGTTTGAGAGTTTAGATTAATCTCGTCAGATGAAGCATTCTCTAATGAACTTCGAAGGTTTTCACGAGATTGCTCATAGGCTTTGCAAGAGAGGAGGAGATGGGTTTCATTTTCCACCTCTCCTGAATTGCAGATTTTACATAAGCGTTCTTCACGGGGAATATTTTGATAGCGCGCAATTTCAATTTGGAGGTTATGGTTGCTGACTCTAAGTCTTGAAAGACATTTTCTTTTGTATGGATCTTTTATAAATACTAGGTAGTTTTCAAGGTTGTGGTCCGTTTTGAATGTTGAGTAGAAAGTCAGTTTGGATGAATTTTCAAGTTTATGTTTCCAAAATGTTAAGTATTTTTCCTCAAGGGTTTTGGTAATAGTTTTAATATGTTCAGTCGTTACGACTTCTAAATTAAGGATTTCTTCATTTAGATTTAAATTTTTGAAAGTATCCATTGCATTTCCGTAAAAAGACATTTTCTGCTTGGAAATTTGAAGACCCTTTTGAATACGTTAATGATGAGAGGGAGTTTTCCAAGCTCAGCTCTGGAGGCAATGTTACTTGCTTTCCTACAGAACTTAAGATGAACTTTCTCAATTGGTGATTTATCCCAATTGTTGAAATCATTTTTCACGTATGTCCCCCATACTTCCGAGTTGTATAGTAGGATAGCAGTTATAATTGAATCAAATATTTTAATGGCATATTTGGGATTGAGATGGCTGAAATTGAGCTGTCTTCTTATACCGTATAAAGTATGCAAGGCTTTTTCGCTTATTTGTTTTAGAGCCAGAGTAAAATTACCATTGTGATTTAGTTTGACTCCTAGGTAACAGTATTCCTGTACGATTTTTATGTTCCGATTTCCAAGATTAAAAATTGGTCTTGCTTTTCTTGTTTTTCTTTTTTAAAATATCATTATTTGTGTTTTCTTCAAATTTATCTCCATAAGCCATTTTTTTCTCCAACAATGGAGATCGTCTAGATCTAGAGATTTTTTTGTAGGCCGAATTTTGATCGAGATAATAAAATTAAGTCATCGGCATATAGAAGGCAGCTCAGTTTAGTCCCATTTGGTAGTATAAACGGATCGGCAGCTGTATTATCAAATAACGTTGCTAATTCGTTTATATAGATATTAAATAAAAGGGGGCTCAAAATACACCCTTGACGCACTCCTGTTGATTTAAAATATATAGTACAAAGGAATTTACTGAGACAGCTAGTCTCGCAAATTCCTCTGTAGTTATTGGGGTCAGTTTTATCTCCTGACTTAAAAATTGGCGTAATGAGACCTTCACACCATTGATCTGGGAAATGCCCTGTTTTTAAAACGAGGTTAAAAAGTTTATGGTATAATTTAAGTAATATTTTGACGCTATGCTTCAGCATTTCGTTTTTATCTTGTCGGAATAAGCAGATTTGTTGTTTTTTAATGTCTTTGCAGCACTCAAAAGTTCTGCTTCAGAAATAGGTTCATCAAGAAAATTATTTTGTGTTTTTTCTTCAAGTTTTGTCAATTTTTGTAAAATGTTATTCTGTTCTGTTTCTAATGTATGTTTAGCATGCAAGGATTGGAAATGAGTGAGCCAGCTGTTAGCCGAGACATATCATCTGGTTTGCTCATGGAAGGGTCCCCAAAGTCATCACTCATGTTCTTTAAGAGTTTCCAGAAGGAATTTGGGTCATTTTCAGAAACTCTTTCCAGTTCTTCTAGTTTTTTTTCATGGAAAAGTTCTTTTTTGCGTTTTAGAGTGTTTTTATAAATCTTAAGTGTGGCATGGTATTTGTCCCTTATTTCGGTGTTAAGGGGATCACGGTGTTTTTGGTTTGCGAGTCTTCGTACTGAATGTCTTTGTAGTCGACATTCTTTGTCGAACAATTTTTTATTACAGACATTGGAAGCTTTATTTCTGTATTTGTTCTTTTTGATTGATGGATGATTAATTAGATGGATTGGAATTAATCAAATATTGAAGATTTTGTTGAGTTTGAAATGATTTAAGATTTGTCTGTCTGTCTGTCTGTCTGTCTGTCTGTCTGTCTGTCTGTCTGTCTGTCTGTCTGTCTGTCTGTCTGTCTGTCTGTCTGTCTGTCTGTCTGTCTGTCTGTCTGTCTGTCTGTCTGTCTGTCTGTCTGTCTGTCTGTGTGTCTGTCTGTCTGTCTGTCTGTCTGTCTGTCTGTCTGTCTGTCTGTCTGTCTGTCTGTCTGTCTGTCTGTCTGTCTGTCTGTCTGTCTGTCTGTCTGTTTTAAATGTTACGTCCTCAATTGCATTGCAATTTTTTGTAGTGAGATCTGGCACCTTGGCATTTTTAGCTTTAATAGTTATTTCAAGGCGCCAGGACCCTTCCTTATGTAACTACCTATTTTAGGTTTTTTTTAAACTTGTAAACTTAAGGGTTGAAATAAAAATTTGTCGTTGTCGTCGTCGTCGTCGTCGTCGTCGTCGCCGTCGTCGCCGCCGCCGCCGCCGTCGTCGTCGTTGTCGTCGTCGTCGTAGGAAAATAGGAGTAACCAGAGAAAAACCGAAAATAATAGAAACAAGGCAGTTTAATTATAAATTTTAACGAAAACGAATTCCAATACGACTTAGCACAAGCGTTTAACTGCTTTACATACAACTCTGATCCAAATCTTGCCTGGCAGGAGTGGAAGCACATTTTTTAATTTGTCTAGTTCAGACAACCATGCTCCCTTTCGTACTAGGAAAGTTAGAAACGAGCATTGCCCATGGTTGAACAATGGAACTAAAAACGTAGCTATCACCGAGACTACATTAAAAAGAAGGCAGTGAGACTAAATTCTACTGCTTATACCGAGGCTT